ACATCAGTTGCGCATAACAGCTTCGGTGACTAACCTTCGCCACTGCTTCGCTCATCGCCGAACGTTCATCACCTGAGACGTCGTCCGGCGTTCACCTCACGAACCAGTGATGACAACACCCGTGACTCTAGTGAACCAGCGCGACGCACATACACGAGCAACGCCGAGATGGGCCTGTCAAGATTACTCTTCATCTTAGCAACCAGAAGTGACATTGAGTGATCTAGCTGAGTAAATATTGCACCAGCGATGTACCTTGGTCAATACCGACGCGCGTCTGGCTAGCTGCCCACCTAGACTACCGGCGACGTGGCGATGTGAAGAGGCCAAGGAAATTGCAGAACCTGTTATCAACGCTTTTGGACTTACTGTGTTCATCGACGTGTCTGTGAGCGATCAGCGCTTTAAGCCGACTAAATAACCCGAATGTATGATATTTAATCGCGTTAACCACCCGGTGTTTACCAACAAGTGGCTTCAGAGGAAAATGTGGTGAAATCGGTGGGCTCTTCGGGCAACGGTCTTCCCAGTCCTATTATCGCGGGGACCCGAAGAGTGCACCTACTGTGGTGACCGATCCGGATGCATTCAGCTGCAGTTGCGAGGCCCTATGCTTGGAGCTTCGTTGAGTCACATGTTACGGCGTGACTTTGAGGCTTGGTGTTTTTAATGCATCATGGTTAGAGGGATTGTTGTGTGCTTTGTCTCAGAAACCATGTAAAATCTCTTGTCTATGGAAAACTAGTAATACTGGTAAAATCCTCCGTACATACAGCAGATTTATAAGCTTAAATGACATTTTTTTGTTCTTCGCTTGTCTGGATTGTTCTTTTGTGAATGACAATTGTACACGACGCCACGCGAGAGGACGTTCACCTTCTCCCACGTGGCGCCGATTAATCGCACGTGATCTGTGATGCGCAACGTTGCAATGTTTGTGTAGATAACGAGTGGTCTGCCGTGTTGTGTGAAGACATACCTAGCAGCATTGCACTTCACTTCAGCCGACTGGTCCCCTGAGTGGTTAGAATATACTATGCTGCCACCTAACCATTCACAGAACTCTTTGGCTCCTCAACAGCAAATGTTTTTTTCTATTGGTTCGACAAGTGCCACCTGAACCAATACAGGAAACGCTTGGTGTTGTTCACTGCGAGATGTGTGATTTGGATTGTTATAAAATAAACATGTGTGAGTAGGATATTTAAATCCAATAGTTCAATATCCTGGAACAAAAGGAGATTAAGAAAGAAAATACAACCAGAACTTTTGACGCGGCAGATGATTTTTAAAGATAATCTACCAGAACTTGTCAATTAAACAAACACAAAAAATTAATGATTTTAATCATGATAGTATCATTAATGAATGTCATTGGTGATGATGACAATAAAACAACAACAATAATTGCAATACTAATGATAATAATGATATAACAATAATGACAATAATGATGACAATAAAAGTGATGATAATAATAATAATGATTATAAAAGGGTAAATATAACAATATCAATAATAATAATAAAATAGTAATGATAATAACAACAATAATAATGATAATAACGATAATAGTATTACTAATAATATCAATAACAATAATAACAATGAAGATGATAATAAATGATAATTTTAATAGTAATGATAATAATAATAATAAAGATGATAATAATAATAATAATAATAATAATAATAGTAAAAACAATGATGATGATGATAATAATTATAACATCTACAACAAACTGTGTTAAACACAGACAACAATAACAACAAAAGAGATCGGACATAGGTTAGCTGAGATCATTTTTGAATTCCTGGCACCGTCACAGTTTATTTATTTACATGATACTAACGGTCTAGTTAATTGCACTTCTAACATGATTTACTGAATATCACAGTCGAGTGATACATTTCATGTGGATTATTGACGTTGAAAGCCTTATATAGTGTCATTTCAAAACCATAATGATTATAGGTGCGTGTGCGGATGTGTAATATACGTGTATCGTGTGTACAGAAATATGCAATTTATGTGCATTTATTCCCGCTTGTATAATAGTTCGGTAATACTATGTGTGAATAGGTGAACTGTGCAGACGGGTAGGCCTACAAACAGCTAGAGAGAAACATCGAATGTGAAACGTAAGGAGATAGAAATAATGCGGTTGAATTGAATTGACTGAAGTAAAGGTGCGAAAGATAGGGAGGAAGGGATTAAATACCGGGAGAATGGGAAACGGAGAAACGGAGTGAATAACAAACGTAAACAGGGAACGAAAACGGAAAATACAAAAGGACTGACATCAAAAAGGAAGTAAATCAAACGAAAAGTAGACTGCTAATGAAATACTTTCACTCGCCACTCATTTAACGATTAGATTACGAAAGTCTCAGACTATTGAAATTGTCACGAATTAAAGATTTTTTTTCTCGTACTTAATTAATTATCCTTTACATAATTTGAAATCATATCTAAATAAATTTAGATCAGTGTCAGAACCAAGTCAAAAGATTTTAAAAACAGATTTAATTATAAAATATTTAATAGGTAATCATAAAAAAAGACCAGTATAGCAGAGCATGTATCCTACCAATAGTTCTAGAATATAATGCATTGCAAACATGTACGCGCGAATATAAAGATGTAAATAAAGAGATATATCTCAATAATAACTTTCATAATGAAGTTACAGTGCCAACAATATAAACAACTTTAGCCTTACTAGTAATAGTTAAAAAAAAATCCAAAGCACTGACTGCATTTCTTTTGGGATAAGCATAAACAGGGAAATGAGTTTTTTTTTCTTTTTGACTACTCTCGTTTTTGTTACCACCATGTTAACAAGCTCTGTGTTCACTTTTCTCCCCATGGATAATCGTAAACTTGTTGGTTTGTAAATTATGAACACACAAATTTAACCACAACCTGTTCATAATGCACAACTAACGAGAAACAATTATGCCATCTATTAAGCACCGGTAATGCTTTTCTTTAATTAAATGTCGCCATTCTATTATCACTATTTTTTTCTTCTTTTTCCTCTTTTGCCGTAATTCCCTCATGCTTCTGCCATTCTCAAGTAGCACTCAGGTAGCCTATTGAAAGCACAGAGACGCTGTACAGCTTTCACCCAAACGCACCTGCTACTGATGCAAGCTGCCCCGGACGCCAGCCAACCCCAGCTCTGGCCTTGTCATGTGCTTGTGCACGTGGCGCGCCTCCAATGGCCTTCCCTTGCCGACCTCCCCTTATCGCAAGTGATTTACCAACATTCTTGTGTTTTTTTGTTTTTTTTCTTCAACTGTGCCATTTCTAAAACCGGAGATCGGTGGTCATATGATGGCAAGCTTGCCTGTTGAGGGACAGGAGCTATTCTTTATTTTCTACACTTCTGATTCACGTAAACAAACATATCAGTTTCCACCATGTCGCTGGGACAAGGGCAATCGTCCTAGCGCTTGCTGTACAAGCTTCTCCGTAGAGTTAAGCACACATAAGGGAGAAATCAACCTGACTGATATTTTGCATGTTCCTTGCTATCGATGAATGCCTAACGTCACGCTGAAAAAAAACCCAAAGCATTGAAATTACAGAAAGTTCGCGATCCAAGTGTTCGCAGCCTAACTTTAATTTGTTTTTTCATAATCTCGCTGATTTCGTCAAAAGAAAATGATGATCATGGTGATGGTGATGATGATGGTGGTGATGATAGTGATGATGATGATCATGGTGGTGATGGTGGGGATAATAATGATATAATAAATATATAAATGATAAAATAACTTTGAAAAATATCACTGATAATAAATTAGGCCCTGTGAGAAAAATAATTGCACGAACAATCACTGTTTACTTAATTGTGTATTTGTTTTATATTATCATAAGAAATGGAAGCGATCATACGAACAAGAACAGATTATCTATTCACTAAAAAAAAGACACTTGCCTTCATAAGTGTCATCTTTACTTGTATTCGCGGGGAAGTACTTTACGCGACGATTGTTGGAAATTATGAAAGTGCGACTGGAATGTGTGTCTGTATGTGTATATATATATATATATATATATATATATATATATATATATATATATATATATATATAATATAGAATGTATATATATAATAAATATGTGATATACATAATATATACATGTGTGTATATGTGTGTGTATATATATATGTATATATATATATATATATATATATATATATATATATATATATATATACATACACACACACACAACCATATACATATGTGTGTGTGTGTGTGCGTGTGCATATATATACATATATACACACGTATGTGTATATGTGTATATATACACATATATACATATATTTGTGTGTGTGTGTGTGTGTGTGTGTGTATGTGTGTGTGTGTGTGTGTGTGTGAGAGAGAGAGAGAGAGAGAGAGAGAGAGAGAGAGAGAGAGAGAGAGAGAGCTGATGCACATAGGGGAAAGCTATCTCTTTTTATTTCATTTTTCCTAGAGAATGAAAACACGTGAATAACTATGCCATCATGAAAGTAATTATCTATGCTATCTTTCGTACCATAATGAAACAAAAATTTATGCTTTGGAAAAGGTCGGCTAAGACATTTCTTTGCTTGAACCCATATCTGTCACATTAAAGTGTAATCAAAGTTGTAAGATTATTTTGCATTCAACAAACAATGTCAGTACAGGGAAACATTTTTGTAATCATCATAGGGTTAACTAAATAAATATATGAAACATTTAAAGTTTAGGGGAAGCAAGTCGTTTTACATTCGCCCAATAAAATTCCGTTTTTATTTTTTTGTTTTTTTTATCTACAAGCCTATTTCATTAAATGTGATTAACTAACGCAATAACTTACTAGTACGTTTTTGAATGTATGAATATTTGTACTTCAAAATGGGCCTTCATAATAATGCATTCATTGCAAGATCATTATTACTCTGAATTTCCTTCCGTATATGTATATCGAAGCCATCTAATAATGATACGCTCAATGGGTGGTTTTATTTATTATTAAGTCAATCCAGTACACATCAGTCATGCCATAATGAGCTAAACATTCCGGATCACACATCTCACACGGAACGAGAACAAAAGTTCCTCCTATTGGTTCAGGTGGCACTGATGGAACCAATAGCAAGGAAGCGCCTGTTCCAAGAGGCCAGGGAGTTCTCTGATTGGTCAGGTGGCAGCATGTTATATTTCCAACCCTTCAGGGGACTCATTGGCCGGAATGAAGTGCACTGTTGCAAATTAGAAATACACACGCCTTTGTGAATTGCATGCTGGGAACTCAAAGCCATCGCAACACTGCACACCACAAATTATTCGCGTGTGATGACCGACGCTGCGAGGGAAGGAAAACAAACACCTTCCTCGATGCGTCGTAATGTTTACACACAGACACTCACAGTAACACTCCGAGTCTTAGTCAAGTGAAAATAAGTCAGTTTTATCATGCTTTTCTCAAGGCCCAGCGTCTTACTTCGAGGGATGGAGGAGAACTGTTTATATGTACGATTTTGATGGCCTTATTAAGATAACGATTTTGATCCTGTAATCTAAAAATTCTCTACTCCACGATTGTCCAAGTCGGTAAATAATAGTACAATACAGACGAAAGAAATCAGTGATGCTCAAACTAAAACACTTCCAATACAAATGACTGATAATCCTTTGGCTGTAATGTAAATACAACGCTCAGTCGTCACCAACAACCGGAAGTTACTATCTAGCTTCGTCTTGTATCGAAACTTAGCCCCACTGTTACTCGGATCGCACATCACCATGGATAATCCGAGGAGCCATGGGAAACGCGACAGCAGCCTTGGCGACCCACACACCGAGCCAAATAACTTGCACCTCGCTCCAAGAACTCAAATGGCACGACTTTCATGCGACGAGAAGCGCAAAGAATGTCTGGCGGATATAAACAGATTTCGCGTTTTATGTTCCGTCTTTGCAGCGCACATGTAAGATTATCATAATAATAAGGTGAAGATGATGGCCATGGGGAAAATACTCATGATGAGGATACTTATGCTGTAACTTCCTTGATAACACAAAGTTGTTCAGAATTGATACGTGAACATTGTACTTTTCGTAATAGAATTTAACATTTTCTGTCACTGCTAGCAGTCAAGACCCAAAGACTGTACCACGTTTCAAATTTAATTTTGGTGTAGATATATTTTCCATTAGAGTTTTGTAACCAATGTTGATGTTGTCAACAACCGCAATCACACACAAACACATGCTGGTTATTCACTGTCACAAGTGCCTGGCAACTCTTCTGCGCGGACCATCTGGCGCCCATGGCACGCCTTCAGGGGCACCTCCATTCTGTTCTTGCTCTTGGCATATTAGGAATTCCCAACATGGTTTTAGGTTATGTAAAGATTATGTCAGTTATTTAAATACGAACGGTGATTATCAGCGTGAAGTCAGAAGTTCTGTAAGGTTTTCACTTCCTCCAGACTTATCCGTAATTGCCAATGCGTTGTCAAGAGCCGCAGTGAATCTTCCACTTCCTCCTGACGATAACAGCGATTGTCAAACGTTGTCGGGAGCTGGAGTGCGCCGATACCTCCTCCTGACCTGACGCCGAAAACGGGTAGAAAGCTGAATTCATATTTTCCTGATAGGAATGATGTCAACGCCAGATTGCCAGGTTATGCTGTTCTTTTTATCATTGCTCTTCCAGGCAAGTCTTTAGACTGATAAGTAAGTTGATATTAACTATAAGTCTTCGTAGGGGTCGTCTGTTCCTCATCTTGATACGGTCAGTTATCAAGATAGTTTCTACAATCTCGATGGCATTTCTGCCTATTACTGTGACTAGAATTTGGAGCTTTAGTGTTGGACCAGTGATGGTGAGTTGCTAGGTTGCCGGAGACGACGAAACGAGTCTGGATCATTGGGGAATACGGTTGGGAAAAAGGATCGTGGCGAGCTTAGGTTTGTCTTCATGATGGGACCGTACAGATGTTCATAACGGATGTGGTCCGATATTCACTCCACGTCTGGGCTGATATACGCTGTGGATTTTGACCAGCGTCAGGATCCACAATAGGCTGTGGCCACTATTTCTTAACAGATCTTGACCTGTGTGTTTATCTGGAGTGGACCAATATTTCGCGGTGTGTCTGGACCACTGTTCGCGATGGGCTCTACAAACAGGAAAAAGGGGCGTGGGGGCTATGCTTCACGTCGGAGCGGGTGGTATTCAGATGTGCAGCAAGGACCGTAAGGTGTTATTAGTGGTGATATGGAGGGACGTGAAACCCTAACTCCTCAGCTCCTTCTGAAACGTAAGAGAAAACGAAGATGCATTTTAAGTCTATCGAGAAATCATAGCATCGATAACAGAATTTCATATAAAGGGATGTCTTAGTTGTTCTTCATTATGAAAATTGGATTTATGTTACAGAAAAAAATAACGTTTAGGCCTTACCATTCAAGTGGAACTCCAGACACTTCCCGCCTTTGCGTGTACTCAAGCCCAGGCGCTTCAGAATGGTATTATGTCATGTCGAAGGTGGAAACTGGCTATGAGTGTTTCTAAAGTTGGCGTTAAGTCTTCGTGAAGGTGGGCAGCCTTCTTGCGTCGATGTCATCGTCGTTGTTAAAGGCACTGCTCTTATGTTCGTGTGAAATATATGTTAATTGGGTGAATGTACAATGTATATTAGTGTGAGTGTACAAGTGTGTAAATGAGTGTCCGTGCATGTTTGAGAGTGTTGGTGTATGTGTTTATGTTTGTGTATGTGTGTGTGGTCCCCCCTCTTGTGTAACGGCCCAGAGGGGACTGGCGAATCTGTTGGTGAGAGTTGATTATAAAGCTAACAGGAGAGGCGTGGGGGGAGGGGAGAGGACGACGTTCCCCCGGTGGCCCAGTGGGCATCCCCGCCGTCACGCGATCACCGACCTCTACCTTGTGACGTCGCACCCTCGTGCCTGGCCGACCTTCCCAGCTCCGCAAGTAAAAAAATGCGATAGTGGAACCTTGATTTTTTCCTTCCCAAGGACAAGAACTTTATTTTCCGATCCGCCGAACTATTTCAGGAAGACAAAGAATCCGGTTGGGAAGAGCATTATCTGGTGTGTGAGCTACTCTCTTTGCCTCAAATCGCTTGGGTACACGCAGCATGTAGCAGGGAGCAGGGAACAAGACACAACAAAAATCGCATACTGCATTATCCGTTTGTTTTTGTTTTTTCTAAATTATTTTACTCCTTTTTACTACGTGATTGTGTGTAATAAGCGGAGTGCCGAAGCCTGTAAAAAGTGAAAAAGCGACTGCGTAATGGCAGTGACGTTCTATATTTATTTAATTTATTTGTACATATGAATTATAATTTTGTTAGAACAGCGGGAATGATTTATTTTAGAAAAGGCACTGAATATATTAAAGTTTTAACCACAATGAAAATCACATTTGCATACCTATACTCATATAAAATATGAATGTAGACACTATTTTATATACATACTTACAAACACACACATACATACACACACACACACACACACACACACACACACACACACACATATATATATATATATATATATATATATATATATATATATATATATATAATATATAATAATAATAATGTATGTGCGTATGTATATTTCATTTTATTTCCTTCATCCTACTCCTTATTACTTCTTTTGTTAGGTTCTTTCATGTCCATCTTACTTTTGCATACCATTCTGTTACCCTTTCTACTATTTTCCTCGTCTCTCTGTTTTTCTTCCTGTAACTCAATTAATTTACATCCACTTTTCAGCATGACTAAACAAGTCTTATAATTAAGAGGACGTCTATATACCCTGTTGCGTCGAATGTTTACACAGCAGGGGAGAAACCACGTGTTGCCCCCGAGTACAGCTGATACTCCTTATGACTGACACTCCAACTCCTGCTCCACCTCCTTTTTTTTCTTCTCCCCCACCTCGTCCACGAACCGCCTCCCCATACCCTACTTCTTCCTCTCTGGTCAGCTGATGGTAGTAATAGAATCAGAACAGACACTCGGGCACAATGCCAGATGGTGCCTGATATCGAGGTGTCCAGCACGTACGCCTCACCACGTGGAGCTCCAGGGTTTGTTACGACGCCGTGTCATGACGAAGATGCGACTGCCAAAGATGTGTCATTCAGAAGACGCAGCGTTTGTCATCTTGCATCTCGACACGCCTCTGGGCATGTGTGCAATACGACTCTTTTCTGATCGGATTTATTGGACGTCATTTCCACGGGGTTGTTGTTCTTTTTATTTTATTTTTGTCAGTCTGCATTACTTTTTACTTGATTTATATATTATATATGGTGATGTCATTGGCAGAATTCCAGCAAGAATCGCAGGTAAAAATTAAAAAATAAAAAACATTATATAATCTTGATAAATGTCCCTGTGCATTATGTTATTAGTATACGTTTTATGTCCATCACCTCCAAAATAGTTTCCGCTCGGTCTAAAAAGAGTCTAAAAGGCCATGTATTAATATCTCCACGTAAAACCCTCGTGACCAGACGGTAGTGCCGAGTTGCCAACTTTCCTGGGGTTCCTGGCTTGTTCCCGCTGGGACTTGGGGGAGAGGGGGAGGGGTTGAAGGGTACGATTGGTGCTTGAGATAGGGGGTGGGGGTAGGGAGTCTCCGGAAGGGGAAGTGTAAATAAAGGCTCTGCTTGATGTGAGGTTCTGCCTAAGCGAAGAGATCCGGGACTATAAACCGACGTTGCTTTGATGCATATATGGATGTCAGAAAGGTGCTTACTTCCTACCCGTAAACTCTTTGTAGCTTTTTCATTGATATTTAAAAGTATTCATTCCCCCTCCCCTTTCGTTCACAGCTTGCATACAATTTTGCAACAAATAACCAATTGTATTCTAATTCATTTGCATTACTTTATTGACAGTCTTATAAAATAGTGTTAATATGAAAGCTTGTCATATAAGGAGAATGTCCCCCTTCGATATGAGAA